GTAGAGGACAGTTTAGGTGAATTGAGCTTGAAAGATGTTTTCTTGCTTTGAGGGCTCTCATAGATAACTTGTTCTACTTTTTAAACACTCACATAATGTTTCTTTTTACATTGGTTAGTTAGAGGATCTTAATTTAGCGTTTATTTATTGGTCTGTGGTCAAGTAACACATTTGCAGTTTCGATTCTTTATTTGAATCCAGGGGCATTAAATACAAAAAACAAACATCACAGTGTAAGCTACTGAAGACACTCTACAAGCATTTTATATTAAACATCACACACACACACACACAACAGATTTAAACAAACACCTGCTTATGGGATTTCACAGGTCGGCTGCAGTGGCATCAGCGTAAAAGAGTTTGTAATACTTTCAGCATCTGCTTGTATCTGGTTATCGGTAGTTATTCTAGTTGAAGGCTGAGACAGCACAGTGATACTGTACAAACGCACTACACGTCCAACTTTTTGGGTGAGTAAGATTTTAATATTTTTCCCAGTGATGGGTTGCAGCTGGAAGGGCATCCGCTGTGTAAAACATATCCTGGATAAGTTGGTGGTTCATTCCGCTGTGACAACCCCAGATTAATAAAGTGACTAAGCCAAAAAGAAAATGAATGAATGAAGATTTTAATATTAATTTTATTCAATAAGGGTGCATCAAATTGGCCGAAAAGTTGACAGTAAGGAGTTTTAAAATACTAAATTATATTTATTTTAAATTAATTCTTGGGACTTTTAATTAATCAAGATTCTTAGAGCGTAAAAAGCATCAAATCAGCATATAAAAATGATTTCTGATGGATCATGTGACACTAAAAACTATTAACAACTGCTTAGAAATAAATATATTAAAAGAAAGTATCAAAAAAGAAGTATTTCACAATATTACATATTTTCACTGTATTTTGGCTTTGTTGGTGAGCATCAAAATCTTCTTTAAACGCTTCCTTCAAGACTCAAATTAAGAATTTAAAAAAGAAATATTAATAATCTTACCAACCCCAAAGTTTTGAATGGTAGTGTAACTTAACTTAAAGAGCTGTTGTGGAGGAAAGAGTGCAATATTTAGGTTGCATTTGACAATGTGAAGACAATGTTGCGAAACAACATTTCTCAGGATATCAACATATTTCATCGATACATAGATATACAAGTGATATAATTCCATTTAAAGGCAGCACAAATTTCAAAAAGTAACAGTATTTCTACTAAATCTTTTTATCAGGGGGAATAATTTTATTCTGCTAAGTTATGTTGTACATGTGGATGTATAAATTTGGATTATTTAAGAGTAATTATGGTCCTAATGTGATGGGCATTATTTAAGGTCGCTTCTGTACATATAAAGACATGATATGCAGCCATGAGAGAAACTACTGGAAAGACAAAAGGAAAATATAGTTTTAAATTATTTAATGTAGACAAATAACTACAGTGGAGTCAGTGTGTTTACAGTAAACTCCTCTCAGTGTCATGTGTGCATGGTTTGTGTCCTCAATAAATATGAAATCTGATTCACATGTTTGCATTTTAATATGAATAACTCATAATATGACTAACACATATTAATATGATAGTTCATCCTAAAGTTAAATGTATATTATTATATTAAAAGGACATTGTCCATACTCTAGAATAAAAGTAAATGGGGTCTGAACCCCATTAATTTTTACTACATGGACAAAGCATCTTCTTTCAAAGAGCTGCGTTTTTAATAGAATGAGGGTCTTTATATAATGAACTTGTTGTTTTTAACCCCTTTGACTTTCACTATATGAACAAAACCTGTTGTTTTGTGGTATTTTATGGTGTGTTACATTAAGGCTCTGCATATCCTCTTCATAATCCAAAGAGTTTTATTAGATAAGAGTTTGTATTTTTAGTATGAGATACTTGAGATATTTCCCAGTGCTGGGTTGCGGCTGAAAGGGCATCCACTGCGTTAAACATGTGCTGGACAAGTTGGCGGTTCATTCCGCTGTGGCAACCTCAGAATAATAAAGCCAAAAATAAATTAATGAATGAATACTTAAGATATTTCACCCAAATATTGTTAATGATATTAATTTATCTTTCTTACATCACTCCAAACTTGAAAAGTTTTTATGTCCATGCAGTGTGTTTTGCTCCACTGACATTTTGCTTTATGGACAAAGGATGTATTTGTGATGTGTGGGTGAAATACATGAAAGACTGGCAGATTGTGTCCCGTAATAATATAAAAAGTTACTTGCCATCTGGCTAGCACTGATGATGTTGAATAACATCCACATGGCACATATTCTGTACATAAACAAGCCTATTAATGGACCAACTTGAGCTTGTAAACACATTAACAGGTTTTTAAAATGGATCTTTTTGTTGTCTTAAAGCAAAGATCTCAAACTCAATTCCTGGAGGGACACAGCTCTGCACAGTTTTGCTCCAATTGTAATCTAACACAGCTGATCCAAGTAATCAAGGTGTTCAAGACTAACAGACACTACTAGATTAGCTGTGTTTGATTAGGGTTGGAGCAAAATTGTGCAGAGCTGCGGCGCTCAAGGAATTGAGTTTGAGACCCATGTCTTAAAGGGTTAGTTAAATACACAATGAAAACTGTCATATTTTCATCATCACTTGTCATCCCCTTCCAAACCCATGAGGTTTTATTTAATCTTTGGAACACGAATTAAGATATTTATGATTAAACTTGAGAGATTTCTGTCCCATTTAAATAGTCTGTTCACACAAAATTGCTCAATATCATGAACATAAACAAAAGCCCCAAATATACCTGGTGTTCAAGAACAAACCTCATTAGTTTTTGCACATTTGCACATACTTAAGCTTCTGTGGCCAGATTTGATTGCTTGCTTTTATCAGTGTTTAAATTTAATAAAAACATATATAAGTATGTTTGTAATATTTAGCAAAAGGCTTCCACCACTCAATTTGAATGAAAAAAGTTATTAAATGCTTTTGAAAAGTTCTAAAGTTCATTCAAAATATATACTTTAGTTCTGTTATTAAACTCTATGCATGCGCAGACTGATATTTTAATCAATCTGCTTCTAAGCACATCATGATCTATATGGCACAGGTAATTGTTTGCTGTCACATTAGCATAGGGCTAGGCGATATGGCAAAAATGCAATCTCGATAATTGTTTTCCATATTGAATGATAACGCCATATATTTCGATATAAGTTGTTAATACTTCCAGATATAAAAAAGTACCTCAACAATACCCGGCATAACATTTTTGGCCGATAAATTTTCGGTGGCTGAAAATGCAGTATGTCTCTAATATCAACAAACTTTTAAATTCCCATTGTTATTGACATAAATTTTATTGCGATTCGATATAATATCATTTATCAGCTTAATCCTATTGCCTAGGGGCAGCCAATTATTTTGCCCCTCAGCATTTATTTACATCTGCATAGTTTTTGCTAGTAATCTGCCAAACGTTTTAGATATTCTCCATCTGTGTGTAGATCTGCTATGGAGGTTTTATCTCAAGGCACTTTTCCACTGTGTGGTATGGTGCAGTTCTTTGTCTTTTCTACTGCATTCCATACCAAATCCCTGATACTTTTTTCAGTGCCTCCTTGGCCGAGTCGTATATACATTGCTCATCGCTGATTGGTTCAAGAAAATTATTACTACTATTGTTATTGGAGTTGCGTCACAAAAGACCAAAGCCACTATATTTAAATAGTCAGCAGCGGTGTGTTGTTGGTCCACACGACTACTACTATTTTTAAAGAGAGCTAAAATAGCAGCCTATGGTCAGTAGAAGAGGTCCAGACATTACTCTTGTTAGTAGCCAAGGAGTAGATCCTTTCTTTAGGAAGTCATGGCAGTAAAGGATCTATAACTATAATCCTACCCACTTTAAGGGCGAGTGTCCACCAAAGCATTTTTGTGCTGCAGAAACATGAGCTTAACATTTTCTGTTGTTGTTGTCAATGGAAGCACCATGTTTTTAAAAATGGCGGCAGCGTAGCAAGGTGCTGACTGTGTGTTTTACATTCAATGGTGAGTGTTCAGTGCTTTTTTTAAAATTTGGACAGCTGGAGAAAGCAGAGTGTTTTTACAACAGCATTCGCATTTATGTAGTACAAAAAACAATTCAGTGGACGTCTGTACTAAGCATTACAAAACTGCGACATAAACTTGTGGCTGATCTATCTTATTATAATGCATCGTTTGGGAAAAGAACAATGTGGTGACAAGTGTTTCCCAAAATCGTAGTTTCTCTGTCGCAGGTCCATCATTTTAACCACGTTAGTTATAACATAAAACGTCCATAATAATGCTAAACAGGGTAGCATAACAACTTCTTTAGAGAAAAAAAACATATTTGTTGTGCAAATTATATTGTTTTACATGCACACGCAAAAAAAAAAATATGATATTCGTTTTGGAAAAAACATGCACTCGATTTCCATATTAATTATAATATATGTAAACAACACATATAGGACCTATATATATGTTTCCTTTACAAATATTATTGACAATATTTTGATTATGATATAAAATCCCTATGCTAACACTTATTCTAATTTCATATATAAATCATAAAAACCGTTAATGGATGTAGGCCTAATTTACAGTAGGCTATTTATTAATAAATGAAGAAAAAATCCTACTTAATAATAATTATTTTTATTATTATTATTATTAAGTAGAATATTGTTTTATATATATATATATATATATATATATATATATATATATATATATATATATATATATATATATATATATATATATATATATATATTTGAAGTCTACTTTTACAATTTGACACTTAAACCCCTGCAGAAATAGGGGAATAACTGGGAATAGAACACAACCAGGAACTATGTTTCTAACTACAGCTCTAGAGGTGTACTTGCAAGTGTACAAGTTTGCGATGCAGTTTGCCAATGTTCGTTGGAACGACAGATTTGAGAAATGCCATATTAACAAACTATGTTTGTAACGATGCAACTTGCGACCTTAGTTGGCTAACGATGGTTTTCAGAATTGCACCCCTGTGCTGTACATTACCATAATGCATAGCGAAAAACAGTGGCAGCATGTATGTGAATATACTGGCAGGAGCAAGTTTGCACTAATGATCAAATTAGCAGCAGTGTAGCAGTTCTACTCCACTAAGACCAAACACATCACCATTGCCATATTGATTATAATGCTAATCTTGTGTTCCAAAGATCAACAAATTTGGTTTGGAATGACATGAGCGTAAGTAAGTGATGACAGAGCATTCAACTCACCCTTTAAGAGCTGATATTCATCATCATTATCATCATCATACACATATTTACATTTCTCCTTGAGCGCTCACTGAGTCTGTAGTGTGCAGTGTGTGTTAGCTGTCCTGGCTGAAGCTGTGAATGTGGTTCAGGTAGTTGGACAGATCCTCCTCTCCCTCTTCCCGTAGATGCTGCTGATAGCACTGCAGCAGCCGCGAGGCGTTAGCCTCCATCTGACTCTCAGCGTCAGGCAGGCAGCCATTAGACATGCCCAGGATGATGGTGGTTAAGGCCTTAATGTAATTCTTGGCCAATGTGAGAGTCTCGATCTTGGAAAGTTTCTTTTCTGTTTTGACGTGAGGAATGGCCTCTCGCAGGGCCTGAAAGGCATTGTTGAGTTTGTGCATCCTCTGTCTTTCTCTTTCATTACTCTCTAGCCTGCGGACGTTGCGTTCTTTAGTGTTGCCATGCTGCCGCCTTCGTCGTGCGCCCACACGGGTACGGCTGTGCCCCTCGCCTCTCAGTGTTCTCCATGACCCACCCAGCCTGACGGACGCCTCTGAGCCCTCCTGCTCGCTGGAACCTGGCTCTGTTTCCAGCGTAAAGTCTGGGTCGTCCTGCTCTGCCCAAGACTGTCTGCCCCGCTTTGACCCCTTTCCTTTGGACTTCATACTTGACTCACCCACACCCTGGTGTAGGCCCTAAAATGATAACGTTGACATTTGATTGAAGGAAAAATAATGTTTATCTCTGTAAAAGGAGCAACATTTTACAACAAGGTCTCATTTGTACTGCATTTATACATTTTTTTAATGTTTAATTTTTAATTAATATTAGCTTAGCTGTGCTATATTTAACATATACTTTAAGCTTTACAAATACAGTTTTTAATAATGTATTAGTAAAGGTTGAAGTCACAAATTTTAAAAAAATCTACCGTAGGTAACTAAAGTTTATAAACATTACCATAAATATTTATTAAAGATACTTAAGAAGAATCCTGCGTAATTACTTGATAAATAACATATTCATATTTAAATGAACAAATGAAGAATTCAGATGCAAAAACCTCTAAAATGTTCTCCGAAAATGAGAACTTTACTCAGCCTCCTGTTTATATTTAGTTATTTCACTTGAAAGGCAATGAAAATAACTTATCCGTCCCTATAAATTTAAATTACTGAGACAACACACAAGAGTTAGAGAAAAATGCTAATATTAGAAGAAAATATCAAATGGCTTTTAGAGGTTTTTGCGCCTGAACTCTTCAAATTAACATTACAGATGCATCACACAAAATTTTTATTGTTTGATGGAGAAAATGATATGCTTTTTCATGAATTATAAGTGGATATTTTATTAAGTGGAAATAAATTAAGCATCCTGTAGCCACTTACTGACTAACTTGTTAGACTACAAGAGATATTTACTGATAATGTGTAATTAGCCTAATGTGTAGGCTAGCCTAAGATAAGCCATAATTGCTCGGTTTATTATCATCTCAATCATCATACAGAAATTCTAAAACTCAAAATTTATATACTGTAAACTAATAACGATATTGAACATTAAACCACAAACAAGAATTATTACACCCGTAAAATATACAGTGCCACAGCACGTTGTCGCTGCTGTATCACAGGCTGTCAGTCACTGCTTTCAGTAGAAAAAAAAAAGTTTAGTCTTACCTAGAAATGAATGTCCACCAAGGTGATGTGTGCGCGATAAGAGCCTTGCGAAGAGCGATAATAAGTTGTTAAGCGCTGTTGCCGTCCTGACAGCCGCGGTCAGAATGAAATGATAACGGTCACGCGCTCTACCTGTTGCTGCTAGATGTCCACGTAGCGCTTTTGTGGCCAATCAAAGGAGGGATCCGCTTTGCCTCGAGTCACTCATGAGCTGGCAGAAGCGTCGGAAATAGCGATCTGAAACTTTCTGCACGCTTTCAGATGATGATAATAGGGGGGCTGTGATACTGATGTTGGTGTTGCTGCTGCAGGTGGTGTAGGCAGATAAAACTCTAGTTTATGCTTGGTATGCTTTATTTGAAAAGTGGACGAAGTTATGTGGTGCATTTACATTAACGTTAGGCACTTGCCGTTTGTTTACACGATTACGTTCAATGGGTTTATTTTTAAGAGAGAGAGAGAGAGAGAGAGAGAGACATGGTGTGGGTTTCCTGCAGAGATGACAGAATTGATACTAACTCCACGGCACTTTATCAAGTCAGAACGCTGTGTAGTATTTGCATAGAGCTTTGCTTTTCAAATGAGCCTTGCATAAATATAATTTAAATACTTTTAAGATCTTTACGGTTATGTCTTATTGAGATATATAATGCATTGGAGGTTATTGTTGGAGATTATTAGTTTGTAATTGTTGCATTTCTCATTATTTAAGCAATAACGAAATGTTGCAACATTTCTGGTTTACTGTTACGTTATGCATTTATCATTTATAGAAATTGGATATAAAGAACGAGTCGCCTTTTTAAAGGGTTCATGCAAATTATTGCAGATGTAGTGTTTTTTGTCTAGAGAAAAGGTTTTAAAGCATGAAAGAAACTGATTATTAAAAACTACATTTGCACATGCACTAAACTTTATGTTTTTATATACACTCACCGGCCACTTTATTAGGTACACATTACTAGTACCAGAATGGACCCCCTTTTGTCGTCAGAACTGCCTTTAATCTTCGTGGCTTAGATTCAACAAGGTACTGGAAATATTCCTCAGAGATTTTAGTCCATTTTGACATGATAACATTAAGCAGTTGCTGTAGATTTGTCGGCTGCACATCTATGATGCGAATCTCCCATTCCACCACACCCCAAAGATGCTCTATTGGATTGAGTTCTGGTGACTGTGGAGGCCATTTGTGTTCAGTGAACTCATTGTCATGTTCAAGAAACCAGTCTGAGATGATTGGCGCTTTATGACATGGTGCATTATCCTGCTGGACGTAGCCATCAGAAGATGGGTACACTGTGGTCTAGGGATGGATATGGTCAGCAACAATACTCAGGTTGGCTGTGGCGTTGACATCATGCTCCATTGGTACTAATAAGTGTGTCAAGAAAATATTCCCCACACCATTACACCACCAGCAGCCTAAACCGTTAATACAAGGCAGGATGGATCCATGCTTTCATATTGTTCATGCCAAATTCTGACCCTACTATCCAAATGTCGCAACAGAAATCGAGACTCATCAGACCAAGCAAAGTTTTTCCAATCTATTGTCCAGTTTTGGTGAGCCTGTGCGAATTGTAGCCTCAGTTTCCTATTCTTATCTGACAGGAGTGGCACCCAGCATGGTCTTCTGCTGCTGTTGCTCATTTGCCACAAGGTTGGACGTGTTGTGCATTCAGTGATGCTCTTCTGCATACCTCAGTTGTAACGAGTGGTTATTTGAGTTACTGTTGTCTTTCTATCAGCTCGAACCAGTCTGGCCATTCTCCTTTGACCTCTGGTGTCAAAAAGGCATTTGTGCCCACACAACTGCTGCTCACTGGATATTTATTCTTTTTCTGGCTCTTCTGTGTAAACCATAGAGATGGTTGTGCGTGAAAATCCCAGTAGATCAGCGGTTTCTAAAATACTCAGACAAGCCTATCTGGCACCAAAAGTCACTTAAATCTTCTTTCTTCCCCAATCTGACGCTCAGTTTGAACTGCAGTAGATCGTCTTGACCATGTCAACATGCCTGAATGGATTGAGGTGCTGCCATGTGTTTGGCTGATTAGAAATTTGCGTTAACAAGCAGTTGGACAAGTGTACCTAATAAAGTTGCCGTGAGTGTACATTGCAGCATCCAGGACAAGCACAAGTAGCATTTTGAACAGTTAAAAACTACAGCCTCTCTGTTCAAAACAAAAAAGATCATCTCAGGTTTGAGTTCACTTCAAAATAACATTAATGTTTCACAAAGAGCCATATTAACTATTTTGTGTGTTTCTTTTTGCTCTAAATGTGCTGATAATCATCGACTTTGCTATCTTTTAAGATTAAAAAGCTTCATAGTGTTCTATTGAAGTAATAAAAGTCCCTGAATCATCTTGCATACGTGAATAAGCAGAAAATATTAATTTATACTATTAATTCAATATTAACATTATAATATTAATTCAAATGTCCATTTAAACCCGCTATCTAAAGAACAAAATATTAGCAAATGAAGAATCTTTTGTTGAACAATTTGAGCATTTCCTACAGTATTAGGCTTTTAACCCTTCCATTTGCAACCTTTATTTGTAGAGCAAGCGTGGTTGTGTGCCGAGAACCACCCTTTTCATAAACTGTGGTATCAGACAGATCAAACACAGACTTGTTTGTTTTGTACCTAAGTACAGTGAACCTGTTCTAAGTGCTTCAGCATTAACGCCAGTTCCTTCTCAGGCTTGTTTGTAACTTGTTTGTGTTTTGTTAAGTTTGTGGAGTAGAAAAGAATGAATGTGCACATACAATCTTTTACATAGGATTAAGATGCTCTAAATCAGTTACAAGCGGTGTGGCACTAACAGGACCAACTCATATAGGACTCTGGGAACAAGTCCATTTGACAGCTGTTGAAGTCACAGCGGCTATCAGCTCCAATGTTCCTCCCCCACTTCGCTGATGGCCTTGGCAGAGCAGCGTTTGGACACAGGCTTCGGTCAAGTGTGCAAGGGCTCAGTGCTGAGACTATGGAAACAGTTTCTATCCCAACCATCAGTTGATTTAGTGTGGAACCTCCGGTATACACCACTTACCCTGATAACAATCTGCCTGTAAGCAAAATGCTGCATCCAGAGACTTTCTCATACAAAAAGAGAGCCCACAAACAGGCATAAAGACTCTCAATTGTAACTAGCGAACATTCATTCATTCATACATACATGCAAATCAACCTTATTTGCTTCAGTAGTAGCCTACTTTATCAGTACTTGGTTGTACTGATAGCTTGCCACTTTTTAGTTGACAACTGCTGAACATTGTGCCACATTTCAAGATAACTTGTTGATTTGCATACTCCGAGTTATCTTAAGTCCTGCTCGTATTTCCCTCGAGTAAATAAGTCACTCATTAGGAACCCCATGCTAAGTGCGACATTCCAGCTCATGAGATGTAAATGACAAATGAAAACACTGTCAGAAGTCTAATTGGGTGTTGGACAAATTACATGAGAAATGGATGTGATAATGGAACATGTACATCAAGTATTTTGATTAGTAAACAAATATGAAGTTTCATGGCTCAATTAAGGCCCAAAGCGCACAGCTGGTGCCTTCAAGGCTACATGTAAAAATAGCTGTTTAAACAGTTTTTTCTTCTGCTGCTGCTAATGCTCTGGACGCCTGATGTTTCTTTTCACAGAACATTGTTTAGATGAAGCAAAATAAAAATAGTTTCATTAAATAAATGTTCTTTTAATTATGCTTAATGAATATTTTGTCATATTTAGAACTTTTTCTAGTATTTTTGCCTCAGTCAATGAAGACTAGTAAACTGAAGACTGTAAAATATGCTTGGACATAATTCTTAAACTGATTATAATAATATATGTAATTATAATTACAATGATTGGTGTCATATAGGGGTAATGCAATGGGTAGCGCTGTTGCCTCACAGCAAGAAGGTCACTGGTTCGAGTCCCGGCTGGGTGAGTTGGCATTTCTGAGTTCGTATGTCCTCCCTGTGTTGGCGTGGGTTTCCTCTGAGTGCTCCCGTTTCCCCCACAGGCTAAAGACATACACTATAGGTCAAACTAATAAGCTAAAATGGCTGTAGTGTATGAGTATAAATGTAAGAGTGTATGGGTGTATCCCAGTACTGGGTTATGGCTGGAAAGGCATCCGCTGTGTAATAACCAAGAGGCAACCTCCCGCTCTCCTTCGTGAAGCTAATACGGAAGTAACTAAAACTGCAATTCATCAAAATTGAGCCTAAAGTTAAAATGGCCAACTTTACAGCAGATAAAAAGGTGTTTACAGCCTGGTACAAAAAAAAATTTTGTTCATATAGCTTATAGTACCCTTCATAACAACTGTGAGGGGCTGAACTTTTTATAACTCATTCGTTTTGTTTATATTAAGTTACATTAAGCTGGCATAAATAAGGTTGGCCCCACTTGAGTGACAGCTAGATCTCACTGGTTGCTTCACCTCAGCGGATTCCAGCTGATTAGCTGCTTAGCTCGACACATACACCATATTTTTCTTTTATTTGTTGTGGCTTTGCACAGTCAGTTGTTTTTTTTATTATTTTCTACAATTATCAGATAAAATGACACTTTATTGTGCTCACAAACCATTCAAGTGGCCTTCATTTCCCAGGTGAGTAAAATTATATACTTATATACTATCTCTATAAATGTATTTGTTTTACTTAAGATCATTTAGAATTTTCTTTAGAACTTGAATGCACTCCAGAATTTGACAGATTGATTAGCTGTAGGCTCTAGAACAGTCATCTGAAATATTGTCATACAGTGTTATGCTGCATTTCATCAATAGCCTTACATTCATTAACAAAGACTATATTTAAAGTGTTTGGAAGTAATTTATATTTTCTTCCTTTAAAAAAATGTCATTAGAACAATGCTTTAGTGGCTCAATGTATTACAAGTGTTTTTAAAAATCTAAACCTTTTATTGATAAAGTGTACAATTTCACACTTGTACACTTTTATTGATAGTGTACAAGTGTACCCTTCATGACAAATGTGAGAGGGGTGATTTTTTTTATAACCCATGCATTTTGTTTATATTAAGTGTGCATAATTAAGGGGTGGCCACTTGAGTGACAGTCTTGC